TTCCCAGGGGGTGCTGACTCGCCCCTTTCAGGAAAGCAGCCGACATGCTTGCCCCTCCCAGTCTGAAAGCACGCCTTTGGGAAGGCAAGGGGAGCCGGAGAAATAACAAAAGCAGCTGAAGTTCGAGCCCCACCCGAGACACTCTTCTCTGCTCCCGGAGGAAGCCCCGCGCGTCCGTGTCAGCCTTTTCAGCAGCACAATCCTGAAAATGGGTCTGTCCGAAAGGGGGCTGGGAGTGGCCCACTGACCTGACTGAGCCGTGGCCATGTTCCGATTTGTGCCCCTCCCCCCAGAGAACATGCGCGGGGGTTACCCGCGCGACTCCTTCAGGGGGCCCAGCTGAAGTTCCCCACGAAGTCCGCGTCTCTAGTGCAATCCCTAGGAAAGTCTGGGGGGAATCATAGCATGAGTTACCTAATATTCCCATGCTCTCTTTCAAGCCCAGAAAGTTATTTTAGTGTTTCCTTCTAGGCTGTGTGTTTGTTGAGGGAAGGAGGGGGAAGTTACTTTTACCACAACAAACATGAGGGTGGAAATCCTGAGAGTGTTGGCACTAGGTCACTAGGTTTATCTGCAGATAAAAACCTGCACAAAACAGATAATGGTTTATTCTGAACCTATTTTACATGTATTTCCCCCCAGCTCACCAAAACGATTGTCTTCAGAGTTTATGCCCATTATTCCTTCGCTGTCTTCCCTGCAATCAAGTTCTCTGAATAAATACAGGGTTTGAGTTACAATTAAAAATAATGAGCCTCTACCGGGCCAATGTCCTTGCATGCAGTAAAAGGTGTGGGCTAATTGCAGGAGCAGAGTTTAGTGTGTGTTTTCTCCCCCGTTTTGCTTCGCTTTGATTGGTGGATTGGCACTTTAAATAAAGATTTCAGGTCTACCCTGATGAGAGATACAGAGCGAGTTCCAGGCAAGCACAGTCCAGAAAAAAAATTAATCTTCTTTTCTTAGAACTATCTTGGTTGGCATCACCAGGCCCTGAGAGCACAGTGCAGGCCAGCATTGAAGGTAAAATGTGATTTTATGATTTCCATGTGATTCCTGTAAGTTCTTTTTTCCTATCTGCAGGCAGCTTTTGTAAAGAGAGTTTATCTTCATTTGTCACCAGAAACTGAATAATAGCTTATTGTAAACCATTAGCAAATTGCAGAGAAAATCTGCCTAAGACCCTTCCAGTTAAAGAAAAAAGAAGACTTATCTATGAGCTTTTTTTTTTTACTATTTGTCATTATTAGTGACCGTGCCTAATTTATAAAAGTATTAGAAGATCAGCCAATCTCTTGGCTAGACAGGCTTTCGTTCATGTAAGGGTAAAGAGCCTTTTCAACTTACAAAATAATTTTAAAGAGATGATTTATTTTAGAAAAACTCAATTTTAAGAAATATTTTCTGCTAACATTATAAGAAATTTAAGTATTAAGCTCATTCTTATTTTAAAAACATAAGTTTGAGTTATATGGACAACCTAAACATAGAATGATATACTCTATAAATCTGTAAATAAAGTTTGTTATGAAATTATTATTGTCTGTATTACATTTTCAATGCATTTTAAAATTTACTCTGGAAGGAAATGAAGTATATAACCTCTTGTGAATGATTCTTAGTAGACCAAAATTTCACATAGTAGAATAGATTTTCAAGTTCATATTTTATTTTACAAAATGAAGCACAGCAGTTAAAAAATAGTAGGGAGGTTTTTCCCACATGTTCATTTAGGTTGTAGCTCTGCAAAAAAAAAAGTCCTTGGACATTTTCTAATTGCTTGTCAATTTTTTTCCAAAAAGTAGTAAATACAACTCAGTTGTTCAGTGAGGTTTAGTTTTTGTTTTTGCTTCTGTTTTTGTTTTGAACCTGGTTGTTTTGGAAGATCAGAGACTCAGCTCATTTGAAATACTATCTTTAACCATTCTGGAATTAAAATTCATCTGATTTCATTCTCCAACCTAACTCTGTTCCAGATCCCACTTTTCAAGATGAAGAACCTGATACTGATCTTGTGCCTCCTGGAAATGAGTTCTGCGGTGCCGGTAAGTCGGAGTTTTCTAGAGCGTTTCCTAGCAGAGATATTGTTGGACATCACACCACGCTGAAGGCCAGGGGCTGAGAGTCCATGCACAGACTCACTTGAATTAACCCAGTGGTCTAATTCCTACTGAGCCAAAAGTCATAGCTGCCCAGACATGAACCTTACAGTTCAAAAGCAATAAGTCAAATACACATTTTTCTCTGTTCAAAAAGATATTTAAAATATTCCAAAGACAATTTCTAAGTCTTCTTCCATTCATTCAAAGATAAGAGATTTACGTTGTCTCCACAATGCCATGGCACAATTTTCTTATCAACTACTTGCTACTATTATGAAATTGAAATGGAAAGAGAAATTTTCCCAAAAAAAGTGAAGTACATTCTCTTCATTTTTAAAAGAACAATATTAGCCAAATTACTATGGCTACAAAACCGAGCTAGTAATTCCATTTGAAGCTAGTAATTAATCAACAAATTTGCCTTATAGGGAAGTATTGTGTGATGGAGAGCTAAGTTGCTTAAATCAAAACATGCCATGGCGATGGTGCTAATTGTGTCTACAGTCACACACCTGGTCCACTCTATCACATATTGAGATGATATCATAACAATATAATTCTTTTGAACACTGAACTACTCCAGCCATAGCATGTGATTCAGTTTTCAAGAGGACATTATTCAGCTGCTAGCTGCTTTTGGCAAAGATTGACTAAGCACCTGCCAAGCACCCAGCAATGTGCTGGACATGGGAGACATGAAGGTAAATATGACATCGTTTTCCTGTCTAGGGAGCTCATAGTCAGCCTCAAATGAACTTTAAAATATTTCATTTCCTTGATAAAGAAGGTTAGCTATTTGGGTTTCTTAAAGTTAAACATTTTGGAGCAAGGGGATGAAAACTGATTACAAGGATGAAAACCTCAATTCTACAAATAAAAAGTTTCTATTCTATTGTTCAACATGAATTTTAAGTGAAAGAAAAGTTGAAGCTGCCATTCTAGCTTACCTTTGTCTGACACTGACATTGAGGTCAGCCTCCATCATCAGCCTGATACCGACACTATTGGAACCTATACTGCTCCACACCTGTGACAGTCAGATCCACTGTGAGGAGCCAGACAATTGCTCAGGACCATCAACTGACTGCCTGCCAAATCAGGTGTTCTCCTTTCACCTGCCTATTTCATTCATACAAATATTGTTCTTTAATTCATGACTTGGAGCAGGTGGAAAGCAAAGTATACTTTGTACTGTAGTTGAATCTGCCCAAGATGCCTTATTTGTGTACAGGCCAATGGGAGGAAAGAAGGCTCTGTTCTCACAGGCCCCTCGCACTCTGAACAATCTGCAGGTCAAGTCGTTCGGGTGATAAACCACATGGTGGCCTCTCAGCTGTACTTTCTATGTCCAGTGAGTAAGGAAGTGTCTCACCAGACAGAACTCAAATTATTCTTATTTTCATTTAGGTGTTTCCTCAGCAACCTGGGACGCCGGGCATGGCTAGTTTGAGCCTGGAGGTTTGTACTGGCAGAGCACTGGCATTTAATGTCTACGTTCACATGTTCCTGACAGGGGAGAAACGGGATGGGCTGTTTCTGGTTTTCCCAGTCAGAAGTCAGGGGTCCCATGCAGCTCTAGATAAGCTCATGACATCTGTGAGAGCCTCATTGTATAATTTTACTGCAGTTTTAAATTCTCGGGTGTTTTAGTCTTTAGAATGTCATCTGTATGTGAATCAAAGCCATACTATTATCTACTACCTACTATATATATGTTAACATAATTACTATATTAATCAAACACATTGTTCTGAGTCACAAATGGTTTATATTTAGTTCTTTCTGCTTATAGTATCTTATATTATAAAGTTCCCATAAAGAAAATTTACCTTACAAAATTCAGTTATTTGTAAGAACTCCTGCAAATAATACTAACATTGTACCTGCTCTAGTCTGTAACCTGTGGTAGGTACTCTCATTGTACTTCTCATAACCAACATATACTCTCTTGAGAAAGTCCCAGCAAAATAGAACCATTTGACCTTATTAACAGAATATATTGACAGTTACAAATAGAAGAATATTTATGAAATTATAAATTTATCATGACCTTGCAAAATTTATTCATATTATAATAATCTAAGGGCACTTAGTACCTATATTGACTAGATGCCTATTTCACATGCCAGCTAATTTCACTGAATTATTTTTCTCTCACTTTCTAGCTTAAACTCAATTCAAAGCACTCAAAACCTCTTTCCATTACATTGAAACTGACATTCTGTTGAATTGCCAGTATTTTTTACAATCTATCCAGATACCCTTTTTCCCAATGTCTTTTATATATTTTATTTTGAGGATTTTTTTGTTTGGGAAGGAAATGGAGGATGTCTTATTTTTTTGTTTATTTGTTTGCCTGTTTATTTGTTTTTTTCAAATTCCTCTTCAGGTTGAATTTTAAAAGGCAAAGGAAGGTAAAGGGGGGGAGGAGTCAAAGAAGCAATGTCCTCAAATTTCCACTTATCTTTCAGTTGAATGAACTATTTTCCCATGTTTCAATGTGACCTCAATTAAATGATGCTTTTTCTCTCTTAATTGATAATAAAAAGCAAGCTCACTACTTTAATATCAATAATTACAACAATGGCAGAACCACATTCAACATTTCCACTTTTCAGTGATAGTTCATGTCTACTTCTAGTTTATTAAAATTGAACCTCTCCAAACTTTGTGCCAATAATATATGTTGAGAAATCAGTTGTGTTGTACAGGAAAGGAACATATGTGTTAAAAAGTAACCCACTTTTTTTTCTTTACAGACAATGAGACAGTTGGGCACCTTGCAGGGATTAAACATGCTTTCTCAGGTAACCTTGTCTTCAAATATTTCTTATTGCAAGTACTGTATTAACAGTGATGATAGTAGTGATACTGTCACTTATAAAATATGTTTGTGAAGAACATGTATGTTCTTCCTAAATATTGGAAGAACAAATGAGTAACTGAGATAACCTAAAACAAAATAAGATTCTGGGATCGGCTAGTGGGGGGAAATAAAAACAGTATTGAATTTTCTTTAGTAAAACAAAATCTTTTTTTTTGCATTATCAATTTTATTATACAACCCAAAATATGAGTGCTTAAAAAGCTAAATCCCAGACAAGTGTATGAGGATATTGTAGTCTGGCTCAGAATGGAATGTAAGTCTGTTGGAAGAGAGCGTTTCCCTATCCATGTTAAATATCACTCTTACTTTTGCTATCTCTACACTTTCTGTGGCTCTTTTAGAAAATGAAAAACAAGTTTAAGTCAATATTGAAATAGAAGTATGTCCCTCTCTCTCTCTTTTCCCCCCCCATGTCTTTAGTATTCAAGATTTGGCTTTGGGAAATCATTTAATTCTTTGTGGATGCATGGTCTCCTCCCACCACATTCCTCCTTCCCATGGCTGAGACCAAGGGAACATGAAACTCAACAGGTAAGTGAGTTGCATCAATGTGTTTGAAACATCAAGCTTCACAATCTTCCCCTGCTTACATTCTCTAAGTTGTCATATACTACCCACAGAGTAATGAACAAATAATTATCCAGATACCAAATACATCAAAACTTATAACTGTTTTTAGTACTTTGGAATATTTAAAATAAAATGGTCCACAGACTTCTGTATTTTAGCCAGTGGTTGTGGGGGAGGGGGGTGCCTGCAGAAAACAAAGTCACCGTTTCCTTTTTTGAAACAAAACTAAAACCTGAAGAAAAATTTTTGTTCAATAAAAATGGGGTATGATTTCATTGTCCCTAGCCACAAGGGATGGGCTGCATTGAGCAGTGAGCAGTGGGGACTCGAACCTTTGAGAACATCGGGGAAGGGAAACTGGCTTTCTGTTCATTGGCAGATGTTCCAGTGGGGCTTTGTTTTTGCCAGGATGTGTTAAGTTGTATGTGCACATATGGACCGGAGTCTCTGCTGAGCTTATAAAGTTCAGAAAAGATGATTGATAAAAATCTTGACTTAAGTTCATTTATCTCAATAAAAGCCCACTGGAACTCAAAATTAAAAAAAATAATAAAATAAAATAAAATAATAAAATAAAAAATTAAAATAAAATAAAATAATAAAATAAAATAAAATAAATAAAATAAAATGGTGGTCCAAATTTTCAACCCATTTAACATTTATTTCAAATAAGAAGATACAGATTCCCAAATATAAAACCTATGTTAAAGATCTCAGCAATAACAATAGACAAACTATCCTCAGAATAAAAACAGGCTAAATCCTGGGCAGTTCTCACGTTAATCAAGATTCCCCAAATAATTATTAAAAGGCACATTCAAAATGATGCCAAAGTCCTGGTTGAAACATCATGAGCCTTACAGCAATCAATAAACACATCAATTAACTGTAACCATTATTTGTTAGGTGCCTAACACATAAACCAAATTGTAGCTCGGGAATGCAAGTGAAGATATTTAAGAATGGCTCCAAGGCTCATGGAATTTCAGATCTGACTGGGAAATAAGACAAGAGAACATATTACAAAGTGCAAAGTTGTGAGGTATAAGTAACGAAGGAGGGATGAGGGACGAAAGCCACCGGAGTTCAGAGGTGGACAACTGTTGTGGTGAGCTCCATGTCACTGTGAGGAGCTGGCAATCAATTTTAAAATAATAGAGAGCCATTTACCACAGGTGATTTTGTAAAAGATCAAGAAAACATGGTTGTTTTAACAGGAACTTATAAGTCCAGTTGTCCTCCCACAACAGGTAGCATTGCTCACCAAACCACATTTAGTGGGACAGTAAATAATGTTAATGGTGACTGTTCCTCCTCTTGATTTTTTCCACAATGGACTCTGTAGTGCAGAAATGTGATTGGCATGTTATTTAATGATTCTTTCTCCTTTCATTAACTCAAAAACTACGTTAAGTGCCTATCATTGCCAGGCACTTCTTAGGACCTAAATTAAGTCCTGGGGCTATAAGGATAAATAAGACGGTATCCTCCTGTCAACTGGGGACAGAGGCTGATAAATCACTGTGGTCCAGTGAGAAAGTGGTAAACAGAGATGCACCAGGCGGCTGTGAGGACCAAGGGGAGGAAGCGACTCGCTCTACGAGGAAGCCCATCGCTTCCCACCGTCCAGGGCAGGCTCTCCCGAGTGGAGGCGCCCCAAGCTCTTGTGCTTTAGAAATTCTAGACGGCGCCGTTCAGTGAGCCAGTGCCTCCTGACACTCCTTTCAAATTTCTCTGCAGTATGAATATTCTTTGCCTGTGCACCCCCCACCTCTCCCATCGCAGCCATCCCTGCAGCCTCACCAGCCCGGGCAGAAACCTTTCCTCCATCCGACCGTTGTCACCGCCATCCAAGACACAATCCAGAAGGGAGGACCTCAGCCTCCCGTTTACCAGGGACAGCCACCCCTGCAGCAGGAAGAGGGGCCAATCATTCAACAGCAGGTGGCACCATCAGATAAGCCACCAAAGGCCGAGGTAATTCCTCCGAAGTCAGAAAGGGGTCACCCACTAACCTCATGCAAGAAAACCCATTTGCAGAACACATTTAAATAATCAGAGCTTCAGGACATAATGCATGAAGATACAAATATGTTTTAAGCAGTTGGCATATCTGGGAGTAGAACATAAACATTTATTCCTGTCCTTTGCCACCAGGAGTGGGGCATGGCTTTGAAAAGATCCTGTGTCTGTAAAATTTGGTTTCTTAGTCGCCAAAAATGAAAGCTTTTAGAGAAAATAGGGAAGACCAGAGAAGTCCAGGCTTCCTATCATCGGGGCCCTTTTCACTGTTGGAAGGACAGAGAGAGTGGTGGAGCCCTAGGCAGTGCAAGGAGTATTTTGCATTCTTGTTTCTCTACCTGGTGGTAAAGAAGACAAAAGTATCTCACAATAATGTAGAGACAAGAGTGACGGACAGAAAAGGAAGGTGCCATGTAACTAGTATCTGCAGACATTTACCTTTCCCCATATCATCCTTCTACAGTGCTATAAAGATAGATATTACTATCCTTTTCAAAAAGGTAAGACAGACTTCGAGAGGTTAGAACATTTTCCCAGTACCCCACAAAAATCAAGTGGCAGGGTCAGGATTCAGCCAACCTGGAATGCTCCGATTCCAACGCTTGTTACTTTCTACTGTGCAAGACAGAGCAAGCCCATGACAGACACGCTGCATCCCCTGCCGGGCAATTGAGAGTCAGTAAAAGGCAACTGCAGTCTCTCAGTCTGCAGCCCCTGAGACTAATGAAAGTAAAAATCAGGAACTTACTTGAGATTGTTTCATCACATTTGTAAATAAAAGTGTGTTCGGTTTCCTTTGCCTATTTTGATAGTTTAGTAATGTTAATATTTACCTGTGTTGCAGCTACCAGGAATGGATTTTGCTGATCCACAAGGTCCATCAGTAAGTACAGATCTCAATAAGACTTTCTTGGGGAAAATATCTCTATCCTTTAAGAAAGAAGAGTAAAAATTTTAAATTGCCCCATTTATTATGAATATGAAATATAATGAGTTCCTTTGTTTTCTTAAATATTAAGCACATTGTCATATGAATACATCTGAAAATATGTTTCATATAAGTCTTAGAAATGGCTGGAATGGGAGGTTGGTGTCTGTTGTAGCAAAAATGAATTACTTTTCTGTTTTCTACCACTTAAAGATATTCTCAATAGCCCGTTTGATATCTCAGGGACCGCTGCCACAAAATAAACCATCTCCAGTAAGTATTTTTTAAATACCACATTTACTTATAAGTTTTTCCCTTGGAAAATGCATTTTGTGATGATTATTATATTTATATTTAGCTTTATCCAGGAATGTTTTACATGTCTTATGGAGCAAATCAATTGGTAAGTCCATATTCTATAAAAAGTATCATTTTTAATTAAATGTTACCTTGAGAGATAAAATTATAAAATTCAGCCCTCACACAATAGATTCCATGTTCTCTGAATGCCTAATTTAGCAACTGAAACGTCAGAGACGCACTTCCTAGTTAGATAATTCTGGCCACACACACACACAGCATTAAAGAAAAAGTACATTTGCTACCTGAATTATCCAAATTGGCTATATTTATTCAATTACTCTCATCTCTCCACTTTACTCTGCCTCTGGACACAGCACTAACTTTAAGATTTAAGGAGAAACTAAATGACCTTTAACTTTCTTGAGTAGCTACAATAGGAGTCCGTTGGTCCATAACACAGGCAGTGTTTCTTTTTTAACAGAACGCCCCTACCAGACTGGGCATCATGAGCTCAGAAGAAATGGCGGTGAGTAGTGTCTTCCAGCTCTTCCTAAGCTAGTGCCCGGGGAGAACAGTCACAGATGCCTGGCTGCAGGAGGCCCGGCCGTAAATGCAGCCCACAGGCGCGTGGGACTCGGAGTGTTCCGCTCCAAGGCCTGCANAGTGTCTTCCAGCTCTTCCTAAGCTAGTGCCCGGGGAGAACAGTCACAGATGCCGGGCTGCAGGAGGCCCGGCCGTAAATGCAGCCCACAGGCGCTTCACCCTGAAGCAGCGTGCAAAGGGTTCGTCACATTTCCCAGACAGACGTTTCTGAAGGGGGCCATTCTTGAGCATAGGGTTTTGCCCAATTTCTTGACCCTGAGGAGAGGAGAAATCCCTCCTGAAAAGCCATCATTGAACGGCAAACGCCCCAAACCATAAAAGATACACGTGGTACATGCAAAGTTCCTGCTCCTTCTTGGACCATTTAACTCCTCAAAACAAATCCAACAGCATCACAAATCATTTAGACCTCAAAACTGAAGGCTCAAAAAGAAAAAAGGAAAATTAAACCAAGTTTGAAATTTGATTGCTATAAAATTGAAAGTACATTAATAACTTAATTCAAGTATATTCTTATTCTGTTATCATTATCCACACACATTATGACTTTAAAATGTGAGATCCATAGACTCACACGATTTGACTTTTCCTCTAGGAGATTTCATGTCACATCTGTTGCCGCACAAAGCAAAACAAAACCATACTAATTAACAAACCATCAGCAACTACAGACTTCATCAGATTAATAAACACACCCACAGGCTATCCCTGAAAGAAAATGTGCACCTTGACCCTGAGTGCCTTCTGTGAGGTAGACGCACAGAAAGATGCGACAGAGGCAAAATAAGTAAGTGTCCTGTTCGCAAGGAGCTTACATTCGAATCCATGGAAAAGATCAGCAGGAAGGCAGATAATGTCAAAGTCCTGTGGTAAGGCCATCAGAGCTATAGGGGAGGGAAAGGAGGTGGCATTTAGCCCGGCCCAGGGCTTCAAAATGCCATCCCTGGAGGAGATGATACAGAAAGTGGGGAGCCAGGAGAAAGTAAGAGAAGAGTATTGTATCTATATAACACCAGCACAACTGGGTGAAATTTCAAGTAAGCGATAATTATTATCTTATGATTTTAATTTATTTATTTATATTCTGCCTCACATTCAAAAGCTTTTGCTGTAGCTTATGAAAAATGCACAATAAATGTAACCAAAAAAAACTGAAGATAGAATTTTAAATAAATAAAAAGTGTGAGGAAATGAGAATACAGATATGCAAGTTACAAAGCCCTGAACAATTGTTGTGAATGGCCCGAGGTTTTAATTTTGAAATTTAGGGCAGCAAAGGAAAAACAAAACAAAACATGTTCAGTTCTAGAATTCTAACTGTCCAAAGGAACAAAATACTTCAGTTCCTCCAGAGAAATCAAGCTTCTTTTTTTAACACATTTTTTAAAAAAAGAAAAGAAAAAACAGAAACTCTTCCATGGGGCTTCATTGATTTGGGGGATATTGAGAAATGATATTGACAAGATCCTTCAAGACATCCCTCAACAAACTCAGGAATGGATCCGTTTTTGTTTGTTTTAGGATGGTATTGTCCATTTCAGCTGCTTCTTTTTTCTTAAAATGAAATTCAAACTGCCTTTTGCCTATAGGCTTGGTTCCAGCCCGCTTCTCTCTTTCCTACCCGTTTGGCCAGGCATGTGGACTTCCCCTCCCAGGAAAGTGCAGAATTCTCTCTTGTATTTCAAAGCCAGTTTAGTGAGAAATGTGCTTACACAAAGCTGTCAGCCAACTCCCTGTTCCCTATCAGTGCTTTGTGGTTTCTCAGTGAATCTGACCAGGTACAATTGCATGGCTGAGTAATAATATGTGATAACCGTGTCTTTGGTAAATGGTATTTTCCAGGGAGGCAGAGGAGGCCCCATGGCCTATGGAGCCATGTTCCCAGGATTCGGAGGCATGAGGCCGAGCCTCGGAGGGATGCCTCCCCATCCAGGCATGGGTGGGGACTTTACTCTGGAATTTGACTCCCCAGTTGCTGCAACCAAAGGCCCAGAGAAGGGTGAAGGAATTGTGCAGAGCTCCCCAGTGCCGGAGGTCAACCCGGCCAACCCAGAAAACCCAGCTCTCCTTCCAGAGGTAGTAGTGCCTAGTGCCCTTGGGGGGCTTCTTGCTCTCCCGAAGGGTGATATTCCCAACCTGGCCAGGGGCCCTGCAGGGCACAGCAAGGGATCCCCCAGGGTTACTCCAGCAGCTGCGGACCCACTGATGACCCCTGGATTAGCTGAAGGTTACGAGTCCTATGGTGCTGACACGACCACACCCTTGGGAGAAACGACCGTGGATACCACAGTGACCCCAGACACAGAGCAAACATCGATGCCGGGAAACAAGGCCCAGCAGCCCCATATTATGCACAATGCATGGCATTTCCAAGAGCCCTGAGTACCTGGAGATATCAGCTACTTCTGTGTGCACAATCTCCCCAGCTTTGTCCCCATAGCTTATCTTTTCCCTAAAACACTTACTACCCTTCTGCAGCAAAGGCAAATCAATAAATACAAGTGGCTAGAAATAGTGTAGGTTCCCTTCTTGCTTTCATTCTCTTATTGAAATAAAAGGTGTCAACTGTCTCTGTGACTTAGAATACTATTAATCCCTGCATTTGAAAATCACTGTTTCTTAGGCATTATAGAATTTCTCTCACTAGTGTGACAGATACTGTTATATCCAGGAAATGTGACACTGCTTTGGATATTTTTCTCTAAGCAAAGGCACATATTCTCAGAGTTATAAACTATTTTATTCAAATGTTATTTAGTGGGGATCTGTGGGAAATTCCTGACTGGTACTACTGGGTTTGGTATGTTGGATTTTAAATTCTCATTTGTAGAGTATTTTATTTACTCTAGTAAAAACATTTAGCCTATTTTAAATAAAGAATTTTTCTCACTGAAAAATCAGGAATTATACGTTTATTATTTACATATATTTAAATGGTCAAGAAAAGCATACTCACCTCCTACCTTTGCTGCTCTTTAACGCATTTTATTAAATTCATTCATTCTTTCACAGAAAGTTTGCTGAGTATCTATTGATGTCCTAGGTACTGCACTAGGCAACAGGGACGTAGTCCCTTCCCTGAGAACTTATAATGGAGATTTTTGACAAGTAGACAATCACAATAATAGCAAAAAACAGCCACCCTGGGCCAAGCTCAAGTACTATACATATGTTATCTCACAACAACACTGCAAAATAGATCTTTCCAAACCCACCACACATATGAAAAGTGCCATGAAAAGTCCAAAGACCATGTGAGAGTTAGCTCATCCCTGTGAAATATAACAACAGAAAAGGGAACCCAGAAAGCGATGATTACTTGTCACCAAACTACGTATGTATCAGTGAAAGCTGTTTGCCTAAATTAAGAGGTTCCAAGGCCAGTCCGGTCACCCCTGAGAAGTAGCCTCCTGCCCAGGTCTGTCCACTTCATCCTAAGTTGTCCAGGCCCAGGTCTTAGACTCCACAGAACCCAGACTCACTTTCACCCCCTATGAAGATGCTGGGTTCAGAAAAAGAGCCCCAAGGAGCCTCCTGACCTGGGACACTTCAGCTGCCTTAGCAGGAGCATGTAGCCTCCACCTATGGTCTCCCTCTCTTCTGGCAGAGCTCTGCTCACCCCCACTCTGTGGCTAGAGCCTAAAGAGACATGCAGGAGTTTAAAATTCAGTTTCTGTCCTGCAGTGACTCTGGCAAAGGTGCAAGAGTAGGAGAATGACCTCCACAGAGAGCCCACTGAGACCCACCTTAGCAATTCACACACTCTCTTAAAAAGCAGAATGCTAAAGACATACAGACAGATCTGGGTTCAAACCCTGACACCACATCTAACCATTTACGAGTGTTTGGAAGTGAGACTTAATCTCTCTGCTCCTGTGTTTTCATTTTTATGATGGAGCTAAAACCCAACCCACCTCACAAGGTCATTGTGAAAACTAAATGAGGTAAAGTACAGAAATGAAATTGCCAGATCATAGTAGTTTCCTTTTTACCCCTACTGATTCTTTTCATAAAGACAACCTAGCAAAACAGCAGCAGTAACAATGGAAGAATGGATTGTTCCCTTTATCTGACGAACTTGTGCTTTCCTATTCACACTCCACACACAGCCCTTCTGATCCTTCTTGGCAATTTGGAACATGCATTTGTGAGATCACATATGCTGGTTTCCCTCACGAACGTTATCTTATCAAGGGCTCAAAGTTGGCCTCTGCTCTTGGCAGACCGGGCACTTAATAATTGTGTTAATAGTTAGATAGACTTTGACAAGGGGGGATACTGTGTTGTTGAGCCCTCAAATAACCTCTGTCTTTGCCACCAATACACTTTACACACTGACCCATAGAGTGAACACCAAGTGGCCATGGAAAGAGGCTAAATATCACCCAAGGGGTGGGGGAGATCTTAATTATTGAGAATTACCTCTACCGGGGTTCCCTCTACTGGATATTTACACAAGGAACAAATATCTTCATACCATATCCCATTCTGAGAAGTCCATGCACATAGCCTGCCTTCAGGACCTCCTTATTACTAATAAGTCAATATCATTCTTTCAAAGTCCCTGACCAGTAACCAATCTGGTACTGGCCTTGAGTCAGTATAAATCTGCATCTCAAGCCATCTCTCCTTCCACACAAAATAGACAACCAGACGTGTCGGTTAAGGTTCTGCCTGCTGAGTGGGATGTGGTACGTTAACTGTCCACGTCTGGCTGATGGCAGAATATCATACAGGAATCCATGAGCCAGGCACACACTCTTTCCTCTCCACTAACTTATTGTAGGTGGGGCAGCCATGTAATTGATTCTTCAAACTGGGACACTTTTGCGATGAAAGGTGGTATTGTGAATGATGAATGAATGTTGAGAGCAGGAATAAAGCAGTAGTACCTAGGGAGAACCTGGCCGTTTGGTTATTCCAGTCATATGGAATTCCCCAGGGAGCCACATGTGTAGGATGAGGGGAAGGCATCAAGTTATAAAGAGGAAGAACATTAAAATCAGAACCGCTTGTTTGTGCAATTTACCGGAGCCTTCTAGGCTGGTGTCATGCTCTTCATTTTAACTTAAAATGGAATGCTGCCATTTCTATTCAATTTATGGGTCAGCAGGTCATCTATCACCTAGTTCAAGATGGGCGACTCAAACAGCATAGTCACTTGACATCCCACAATCAGGCACATGGTCTGTATCAGGGTTCAGCAGCAAGGCAAAATCTACTTCTCACAAAGAAAACCCTAAGGTTTGGTGATGTTATCCTGTCAGGGCTGACCGAGGCCCCACGTAGCCATAGATAGTTACAACATATTTGGGTCCCTGTGTCATAATGCCCAAGTGATAGGGAAGCGTATGCTATGGTACAAACCCCTTTCTTGCCCTAAGTCCTACTCAAAACTGTCACCCTTTCAAGTTATACAGTGTGTCGCACAGGCTGCCTTCAGAACACAAAGAAGTCCAAAAAACACTGTGGCTCCCTCTTCTTGTACAGTGGGACAACCTGCCTTCCTTTTAGCCATCCCAATGTGCCCCAGACTCCTAGACCTCTGGAAGTGTTAGCAGCGCGATGAGCTTTTGCACCATTTACTTTCCATCCTCTGGCTTGTTGTTTCCTGCTAATCAAACTTACTGCATTCTGTCTCCGGTGTCATAGGCTGGTGTGGTGTCCTGTAGAATAATGAAGGTAATCAAGGATCCTTAGGACTGTATTATGACAAATTGCAGGAGAAGTGACACAGTCCTGGGGCAAGATAGCTGAAATTTGTATTGGTCCTGATTTTTCTTACTGACTGAAATAGAAAGAAAGCATCTGCCAGATCCATAGCCACATACTTGGTGCCATGGGCGATCCTGACTTGCTACAATAAACTTACCACACCTAGAGCAGCTACAACTGGCATCACCACCCTGCTGAGTTTGCAGTAACCCACTGCAGTTCTCCATGATCCCTCTAGCTTTTGTATCAGTTGAACAGTTGAGTTAAATGGAGAGGTGGTAGGACAACTTCCCTGTATTCTTCAAACCTTCAAAGGGGCCACTGAGCTCTGCAATTCTCCCTAAAGCAGTTACCATCTTGTTGGAAGTTAGAGGAGGGGGTGGAAGAAAGAATATAGTTCCAGGAGCTTCCTCCACTTGGTCCTTCCTACCAAGTGAAATAGCTTTCATTTCACTGGGACAGGAATCAATGTGGGATTCTGCCAGTTACGAGGTATATCTAGTCTCGCTGTACACCTGGAACCGGGGAAACAGCCACAAGATAGAAGCATTAAACCCACTGCTACATGGATGTGGGCCAAGACTCCATATCTCATCTGACTTCTGTAAGCTTTCGCTGGTAAACTATGAAGGCTTTTCAGGTTCAAACCACTATCTAATAACCTCCAGAAAGTCTGGGTATTTTCCTTTCCCGCCCCACCCTACAAAGTCACCCTCTTAAACTGCTTCAGGTCCCTCTGGAGAAAGCTTAGGGAGACTTCCATGCTCTGCATGTGGTCACACTCAGTCGTTTCTCACAGGGATGTGGTCTCCCTTCAGCTGAGGGGCCCTAGGTCTGGGAACTGGATAAGAGACTGTGAATCCCACTATGGTGACTTGAGTTAAGTTCAATGAACCTAGAATTTTTTTGGCTTTTCATGTCAAGTAGCACCTTAACAACAAGATGTTGCCTATTTTTTCCCTAGAGACCCATGATCTGCTAGTCATCACCACAGATCCCTATCGGTCAGAGCACCCTGATTCCCATCCCATCCTGCAGCCAACTGCATCCTCTCTGTCTCTGAGACATAGGCCCCACAATCTGGCCTCCTTTTCAGAATCTTATTTTTCCCACTGGAAGTCCAAAGCAGCATCTACTGTCATCATATCTGTCCTCCAGAGGATAACCCAGAGCTCTTTATAATGCCTGAGTGAGGAAAGTGTTCTCTGGGCCCTTCCAGATGGAGAAAAGTGAGCAGTAAATCTGGAGTGGTAAACATCGCATATCCATTATTCCTGTGTGTCTCACAAGTATATATTTTTATGTAGTACTTGAATAATCTTATTTTTACTTATATCAAGTGATGCTGGTTTTCCATTTGCAGAGGCAAAAGTGAGGTTCCTTTTATTTTATTTTTTTAAGAATGTCTTTATTGATTTCAGAGAGAGGAAGGGAGAGGGGAAGAGAGAGAAAATCAATGATGAGAGAGTCATTGATCGGCTGCCTCCTGCACAGCCCCTGCTGGGGATCGAGCCCACAACCTGGGCATGTGCCCTGACCGGGAATTGAGCTGCAATCTCCTGGATCCTAGGTCGATGCTCAACCATTCAGCCATACCCGGCTGGGCAATGAGGTTCCTTTTAAAATAAATTGTTTCAAAAACATTAAGTGAATAGTACAGGTTATAG